AAAAGTAGATATGTTTAACAGGATTTAGAAGGTTTTTTTATTTTTTATTTTATTTGATTTAGTTCTTCCTATTCCAACAATGGTCTCCAGCCCAGTAAGTGGCGGGAATGCACCTATCGTTTGTTTGCCAACCGCCATAAAACTCCAAAAGAAGAAGAAGAAGAAGAAGAAGAAGGTGAGACGTCACGAGCGTCAGTGGCGACGTGGAGACGCAGAGCTAATAGTCAATACAGCGTCAACTTCCACTGTAAAACACACTTTACTGGACGTTTACCATCACTAATTCTAACTCATTTAGTATTCGTCTGAGGATACAAAGGCGCCTGTCCAGCGGACCGCGAGTGGGTTTTCTGAGGCGCTGTCAAATCTGACATTCATCAAGTAAGTGATGATGCATATTAGCATGGAAGCTAACGGGTTTACAATGGATTTCTCCATTCACTCCAGTCTGCAGGCTAATTGTTGCTAAGTGTATAGCTACCTGGATACTTATTAACTTCTACATTGGCAGTTGCATACCGAGAAATAGTCGTATAAAATGAATATTTAACCATATTCTAGTTATCTTGTTTGCGGTGGGTAAAAAAAATCTGTGAAGTAAGTAATTTGACAGTTTCTGGAAAGCAGTTAGCTGAGGAAAGCCCAATCTGTCAAAGTAAATGAACAAGCTAATTGAATATCGAAGTTTTTTACTAATCAGTCTTCACTAACTGTGTGAACTCATTGTTAGTCTGTTTATATTAGATATATTTTATCTATACATTGGAGAATTTGTGTTTATTTTATTGTAATGTGCACGTTGTACAGACTATAGTCTAAACTTTGCAGGACCAGTTTAACTCCTAAAGTCCTGCAGGGGTTTTTAATCTGTAGACGTTTCCTTGTATTCTGTAGGCCATTCATTGGGTATTTACCTGTAGTCTTTTGTCACCTGTAATGGTGATAGCAGTGCTGGATTGCATTGAATTAATTATTGATTTCAGTCGGTGTTTACAGTAACACTTAAACAATGAAGTTTCAAGGTTTTGTGCACCGTTGCATCATGATTGTTTGTGCAAGTGTGGTGGAAGTGCTTAACAAAAATGAAAACAAAAAACAAAAATCCACTTAATAGTCTTAAAATAATCATTTTATTTATGCAAACATAATGTCACATACATTTTCTTTAGGACAAATATATTCTGTAATTGTTTCTTTCAGATTATGGGGTGACATATGATTTGATTTCAACATATGATATTGGTTTCTAAATGTAAATGTTGTTGGATTGGTTGGAAAATGATTATTGTGAGTGAGTGGCTGCACCCTGGCGGCGTGTGTGCTTTCTTCAGCTGTGTGAGCCACAGAAGTGATTCCACCTGACGGTGTAAATGAGCCTTCTTGTAAGTCAAGAGAGTTCACACCATCTTCTGTGATCACTTGATATGAACCAGGATGTTTAACCAAAACCTCCACCTTCTGAGACACAATCTCACAATCC